CCAAACCCCAAAAAAACCTGGGATCCGTCACGGTGGCGTGACCTTGTTGTTGCTTGCTTTTGTTTTTGTTTGTGTTCTGAGCACGTAACAGCCTCCGTATCAGAAGATAGGCGTACAGCAAGCGTCCGACGTGTACAGCAGCTATCTTGCGCTTTGTACCTGCAATGTCACAGGTACTGCGGTTTGCTCCTTCCCTTACGGCCCATCGCCATCGTCTGAGACTGACCAAGTGTGGGATGCCACAAGACTGGCACTCAAGGACCCGGCTCAGCTGTCAGACTGTCGCCTGCAGACCCTGAGTTCGACACATCAGGCCTTGGTTCGAGAGCATCGGACGCGTTGGCTCACACTGAGGGTGACGGAGGTCGACCAAGCATCAATGAGTCAGCCTTGAAGCCATTCAATTTGTATTCAAGCCTTCTTTATGTAAACTCTCTAACTTTGAGTACTGAGTCAGCTTATCCAAGTTTCACATGAGTGCAGGGTTCGGCAATACGCCCGCCACGCGCAGAGCACGCTCGCGCAGCGTCCAATCGAAAAATTAGTGTTTTTGTTGTTGTTGCTGCTGTTGTTGTTGTTGGTGGTGGTGGTGGTGCTGCTGCTGCTGCTGCGGTAGTTGCTGTATGTTGCGGTACTCGTTGTTGTACCGGTACCGGTACCGGTACCGGTGCCGGTACTGGTATTAGTAGCAGCACCAGCGATCGTCATGCCGATAGTGTCAACAAAGCGTGATAATGCCAACAACCCTTAGAGAAAATTGCCAACCGGCTAACCATACTAACGAATTATCAACATCATCATGATCACCAGCAGCAGGATCACCACCATCATCTTCTTCTGCTGCATTGCTGCATCGCAGTCGCCATCATTACAATCACCATCATCATCAACGCCATCACCATCATCATCGTACTCACTGTCAGAATCATGATTACAACAAACAAGACAATAATTGTGAGTGTGGTCGCTGAAGGGACTTTGGAAATTGTTGCTTTCAGGGAAATTTGCCAAGCCTTCCCTTGGACACGGGCGAGGAAAGCAAGTAATTCGGCGAGTCCTGCCAGGTGGCAATTCGGGTTTAGGGTTGGGGTTGGCTGCTTTCTCCGAGGACAACATGAAAGCATCACAGAAATTCAGGTTGGGGTTCGGGATCTGTTCGAGAGCGAAAACAACTCTGTTCGTGTCGGCACAGCGCAATGGTTGCATGTTGTACAGAGTGTGGTGACCAATCTGACCATCAAGGTCTCCAGTCTTCTTGCCTGTGCCCCAAACACATCTGCACCTTTGAGGCACAAGCACCCCTAAGAGCGATAAACATCGAGAAACCATGAATGAGATCCTTCAATTTAAATTAGGTGCCTTTTTGCGGATCCCTACCCTTTCATGATGAAGCACAGAGTCGCGTGTATGGCCGAATCTAATGTACCAACACCCAAGAATGCCGGGCCGAACCTTGAGCTTGTAGGCCTGTCAGCTGGTAGCGCGGATCATCGGGATCGGGCGCAGTGCACACAGGACTAGACATAATATTGTAGAACCTCTACGGAGGACCCTGGTAGCTGCGACACCTGAATGGATCCCGAGCCTAAGTCCAGGCCAGTCCATGCCACAACTCTGCACCTCGTCACCGATGTAGAAGTCTGCATCAGCCAGCCCTTGCGCAGATGGCGTCTGGCTGATCTGGCTGATATGTACACCTGGCTTGGGGCTTGGTGCTTGGATCTTGACTAAATTGTTGCATGGTGAGGAGCCGGATGGAGCACAGATGTGGCTTGAGGCCCAAACTCCCGGTTGACTTCTTGGCAGCATTGGCCACGACAGTGGGGATCATGAAAGTGGGTTCCTCGAAACACGTCGCACGCAGCTTTCAGGTAGACAGGTATCGACAAAGCAAATCTCTCCCCCAGTCTCAGACAGGAACGATGTTGCCAGCAAAACCCATCTTGGTGCATCCGGTTCCGATGTCGATGACAACCGGTGGGGTCCTGCAGCCCCACGACTGATCACTTTTCGACTTCCAAGCAGGCAAGCTCCAAATTCCGTGCCTTCGCGCCATGGTCTCACTGAGGGGCTTCGGGCTGCGCAAAAGACCTGCGCATGCTCAGACAGTACAGCATAACACAAAGGCATCGCCAGCTGCAAGTTGCAAGCGATATGTCACAGCAACAGCCATAGCAACTGCCGACGACGATTCAAGCACAATGCCTCAGCTCGGGCCCATCAGCGACTGACCAAAGGTGTGGGACATTGGAATACTGTCTCCTGACGGCCTTGCGTGGCTCACGCTCGTTGAGTTCCGGCCTTCGGCCCTCCAAGGAGTTTTGTTTTTGAAGTTCGTGCTCCTGCTCTTCTTGTTACAGCTGCTATTCTTGAAAAGGTTTCAGTGGCTATCGGTAGAAGTTCTGGGACTTGGGCTCGGCACGGCTATGCTTGCCTTAGGGCTGCTGATGTCTTTTCACGCGTCATGCTACTTGCGGCCTCAGGCCATCAATGCGGTATGCATAGCCTGAAGCATGCAGCTGCAGGCAGAGTCGAGATATCAAGCTGTTGACATTGACACGCAGCTTTTTCTTCCTCCTTCTCACTATGACAACTTTGGTGAGATCATGCAGAGTGCTGCGCCCAATAATCCTGCCACGATACCAGCCTGGGTGTCTCAGAATTCTACCACTCTGCTGGGGAGAAGGAGAGCTCTATGCTGATTGCCGGGAATATTCTCGTGATCTCTGATTCAATTGACGGCCTGTGCTCAGGAGCCAAGATGCACCACCCAGGAGTTGAAGCGTTTTGCCGGATCTCGGCGAATCCTGTACCTCGAGGCCTTCCTGCCAGGGGTCCGGCATGTCTGCCTAGTTAGTTTCTTGCAAATCTCCTTGAGCTCATCATGACTGACAATCGGCATTATGATTCTCATCTCCCTGGAATTGCTCGTCACCACCAGCGCAACCACAGCAAACTACCACCGCCCACTGCCAACCACCATCGTCGACGCTGCCATAAAAGCCGTCTTCTTCTGCTTCGCTATCATCGTAGTCGTCCTCGTCCACATAACCGTCAGCATGGCCATCATTATCGTCGTCATCCACATCCTTATCGTCATCACCATCTACACGATCATCATCATCATCATCGCCATCATCATCATCATCATCAGCAGCAGCAGCAGCACCATCATTGTCATCATCGTCGTCATCATCGCCATCATCACCGTGATCATCATCATCATCATCATCATGATCTTCATCATGATCTTCATCCTGCTCGTGGTCGTCGTCGTCATCGTCGTCGTCCTCGTCAGTATCAACAGCATCATCGTCAGCATCATCATCATCACCAACACCATCATAATCATCATCAGCATCATCATCATCATCATCATCATCGCCATCATTAACGACATCATCGTCCTCGTCGTCTCTATCGTCATCATCAGGTTGATTACCGTCAAAATCGCCACACACACATACACAAACACACACACACACACAAACACACACACACACACACAACACACACACACGCGCGCGCACACCCCTCACCGCCATCGTCACCATCATCGCCACGACCCCCACCCCCGCGAAAAACACCACTTCCACCACCAGAGCCGGACAATCTTTCGTCGGGCCTCCTTCCGAGCGAACGCATTGCCATCGAGGCTGCTGAAGACGCGTGTCACCACGACATCCTCTGCTCCCGGCCGCTTCAAGATGTAGCCTGTGATCAAAGATTTAGCAGAGGCTGAGGTTGAAAGGCTTCTGCCTGCACTTTCCCAAACGGAACAACGCATCTGCAACCGGGATGCATTCCCGCAGACTGCCCTGAGGCAGCAACAGAACAGAATAACTTCTTCAAGTAAGGCTGAGGTCACGTCTGGAAAGTCACGCAGAAGGGTGCCTCTGGAAGCACCGCGAAGCCTTTGCGAAAGCAACTCCCAGCTTCCGGGTCTAGAAAAACTTCGATGACTTGCACTGCGTAGGCTTCACGAACTACTTCAGCTTGCAGCTCGAAGAAGCCAGGTTGCTCTGTAGGGAGTACCAGCCATCTCCACGCTGGAAAAGTCGACACTTCACCGTCAGCTGCGACGTGCCCTCTGACAAGTCTTCAAAGGCAGAGAGCATGAATTTTTTCCGCTTGTTGCGGGTCTCCTTCCTAGGTTGCAACGGCGAAAACCCCTCGTGCCAGATGCTGCACGAGAGTTCAACTAAGAAAGGATGTCGCCCGAACACGTCCGAACACACTGCTCCATCACACCGCCGAGCTGCTCGACTTCCACGCCGCCCAGCTCAATCGTGGTGCAGTTCTCTCCAAACAGAGTCCTCAGAAGTTTTGTGATGCAGGAGACCCCCAAACCTGTCAGTTTCCGGCGGAAAGATGCAGAAACAAGCCCAACCGCCTGTCCACAACTGTGAGGATCTTGTCCTCCACACCTCCAATTGAAGTCAATGCCCAGATACATAACTGCTAGGTGGGTCAGTCCACTCATATGGGATGCTCTCTGCATCGCCAAGTGGCTGATGTGCAATTCCACAGGAACGTGATCTATAATCCTCGCCGTGACCACATATGACTCATATGACCACATACGGGGTGAAGGGCACACTAAAGTTCTATGGAAATACTGTTCCATCATCACGAACATCAAGAGGATAATGACTCAACATTCGTGAACTTGACGGTGCTGCTATTGTCACTTGCGTTTCATTGCCCTGCTCCTGTCATTTGATACGGCGATATACGGTGACCATCTGCTCATGATGGCGATGGGAACGACGGCGACTGGGCGACGACGATGACAACGAGGATGGATGATAGTGACGACGAAGTTGAGGCTATGCTGCTGCTGCTTATGGTGATGATGATGATGATGGACTGTGATGGTGCTTATGGTGAGGATGATGAGGATGATCGCGATGATGGTGATGGTGATGGACGGTGATGGTGATGGTGCTCTTGGTGACTATCATGATGATGATGACGGTGATGATGGTGATTAATTATGATGATTATGGTGATGGTTTTCATCACGACGATGATTTCGTTGATGGTGCGGGTTGTGATGCTAAGTATGACCGCATCAACCCTTGTCGTGTGGGGTGTCATTGCTGACTTTGGTAGGAGTTCTCCACTGCTGATTGCTATATGTTGCTATCACACAGATCACTATCTCGAAGTGCCAGTATCTTTCACCCATTGAAGCTTATTTCTGCTGCCGACTCTTTGTCTGATCAAGAGATAAAAAAGGAAACGGTCATTCTGTGCCAATCCTCTGGAGTTTCCATTCACACTGATCGTACTGGAGCTAAATCGGCCCACCACGACGTCATGCCGGCTCCTGGCCACAAAGCCTGGCAAGCCCAGCCCGGCAAAGTAAGGGCGCATGGACTCGCTCTGCGCCTGATGGAATTGCTGCCCTGCGTGATGCTCATGTGACATTCTATGTGCTACTTTCCTGCTCTGCTATATATATTGCAATCAGTGTTGGCAGAACCAATGGCAACGCGGGTGATGGAAAAGTCGGGCGCCAGGGTAGTCGGGTGAAGTCAGTACTACTACTACTACTACTACTACTACTACTTCTCCGACTGCGACTGCGACTGCGACTGCGACTGCGTCTGCGACTGCGACTACGACTACGACTACTACTACTCCTACTGCTACTGCTGCCGCTACTACTACTACTACTACTACTACTACTACTATTCCTATTCCTATTCCTACTACTACTACTACTACCACCACCACCACCACTGCCACTACGGCTACCACGCCCGAAGGTTGTCCTTTTGCGCACCCCACCTGTGTCAGCGACCTCTTCAGATCTGAATACATGGCATCGCAGTTGCCAGCTGGCACGGAATTCACTCAAACCGAGATGCCCAAACCCTAAAACCAAACTTTGGCTTGAGAAGCCCTAAGCCCTACACCGCGGTAGCAGACCCCAAATCCTGAAAGGAGATCTTGTCTGCGAAACAACCCAGAGACCCAAAAGGAGATGCTGGTTGAGAGGGCCAGGACCCGACAAGGACATGTTGTCTGCGAGCCCCGTACCCTAAAAGGGATGAAAGCTGGCAAACCCTACACCCGGAACAACCCGAAAAGAACATGTTGGTTGCAACGAAACACAAAATCCTCGAGATAAAAGCCTAAACGAGATGTGGGTTGCGAAACCCAGAACCCTATCACAAACCGTGAGACGGTCAGCAACATCACGAACGTCATTGATAATTCTTTAATCTTGTCTGTGCAGGCACATCACTCCTGCGGCTTGCCGGATCGAGGTAATTGCATGTGAACATTTCGCTGTACGCGACAGCCTTCTCCAGACGCCATCTGCCGACGGGACGGCGTGGCTCTGTCGGCTCCTCGCCTCAGAGAGAAGACAACTTGCAAAAGACCGATGCAACAGGAAGAGGCTTTCTTACGAGGCCCTTGCATCGCAGCATAGACACAGTGGATGCTCCAGCCATGATTGCAGCTGCCAACGGGTATTGAAGGGGAAGCCATCTCTGTTCCGAAGCTTCTTTGGCTCTGCACCTTCAGGCATTGTACAGTGCCATGTCGGGAACTTCTGACACAAGAGGGACATGCCTTTCACTGACCCCGTCCTCCCCATCGCAGCAACTTCTCGGCATCTGCAGATCCCATAAGCCAGCATCATGGAGCGCCTCTTGAGAAAAGGAAACGTCAGATGGCAAAAGATGCAAGATCTCCCCAGCCAAACGAGCCTTGGCGATCCTGCCACTTGTTTCAGCAGCTGTCGCACAGGAGCGGCAGCCATGCGACTCATGCTAGCTGTAGACGTTCGCGGCTCTTTGTATTCAGCTGGAACCCTCTTTCAACACATCCTCCGCAGTCGTGCTTCTCGGTGCTTTTGGCTTTGGTGCAGGCCAATGCTCCCTGTTGGCTGGAGGCTGAGCAGGCACTTGCATCTCGCCTCGAGCAGGAACTAGCAACGCGGGCTGTGCCCTGCATGTGCAAGAACAAGATCGAGATCCAGTACTCCTCAAATAAAGTCTCGGCGATCTAGGCTGCCTTTGATTGTCTGGAGCTAAGCAGGATGCGGTTGCATCCATGGTTGCATGTCATTCCTTGCTGCCATTGCACACATGCCGGGCATGTATCGTACAAAGACACCCTGCCGAGAATATCAGACATCACGTGCAATTTTGAGGCCAAGGGCACATGAAGTTGTCATGCCGCATGTTGTGCGAAGCTGCTGAAAATTCGGCTTCGAAAACTGGCGTGAAACATGAACTAATCCCTCTTGTAGAGACCATGGAATGCAACATCCTTGTCAAGGATGCTCTTCGCTCAACGCGCTTTCCGGACACCTATAGGCTGTGTTTCCGAATCCATGCTGCCGGCCCCTCAATGCCTAAACATCCCTAAATCAAAGGAAAGAGTAAGAAGCCGAGGACTGAAAGCTGGGCATTGTTCTGAACAGTGTTCTAATCACTGCAAAGCATCGCTGTTCATGCTAATTTCCTATGCTGAAGACTCTAATGCGCAGGTTGGAACAGCCCGAACTGCTGGAATGGAAACTAAACACGACACTCACATGGGGACAATCACTTCGCATTGGGCTTCCGATTGCGAGTAGTACCATTCCTAATACGAGTAAGCAATGTTGCTACTGCTGCTGATGCTGCTGCTCTACTACTACTACTACCACTACGACGACGACGACGACGACGACTACCACTACTACTACTGCTACTACAACTGCTACTACTGCTACTGCTGCTGCTGCTGCTTCTGCTGCTGCTTGGGGTTCTGCTGCTCCTACTGCTGCTGCTGCTACTACTGCTACGGCGACTACGACTTCGACTGCGACCATGACGACTTACGACTACCATTACGACTACTTCCACCACTACCACTACCACGGCCACTGCCACTACCAGTACCACTACCACTACCACGACCACGACCACGACTACCGCGACTACCACTACTACCACTGCTACCACTACTGCGACTCCGACTTTGACTGCGACTGCGAGTCCGAGTGCGAGTGTGAGTACGACCATTCCTGCCAACACTACCACTACGGCTACCCCCACTGCAACCACCGCCACTGCCAGCACCACTACCGCGACCAACGAACCGCTACCATCACCACCATGCTCCACCAGTGACAGTACCAGTGAATGAGTTCCAGTGAACACGCGCCACCACAGCCTACCTTTCCTCTGTAGCACTAGCTCACTACCAGTATCAGTGCTAGTGTGATTGTCAGCGTACTACAACTACGACTACGACTACCACGACGACTTCACGTCTACTGCCACTTCTATCACTTCTGGTTCGACGACGACGACTACGACAGCTATTACTTCTACCGCTTCTTCGACAAGAAGGAGTACTGCTACTATGACGATTACGGTTGCTACTGCACGTGTTGATCTTGTCCGCCACTGTATGAGCTTGTTTGGACCTGTCATTCGTGTATCGTTAACTGTCATTATGTCATGCCGTCGTTTGCTTGTCCGTTTTATCAGCAATGCTCTTCCTGGATTTCATCAATCGCCAAACTCGTCACACTGATTTTGACAACGCTGCATCTAGACAAGGCTTATCAATAAAGTGATGCGTGCCAGAACAGTACAGTCCAAGATTAGTTGCCGGCTGCTGTGGTTCGGATTGTTGTTGTCGGTCTTGTGACTCGGATGGTCGAGACCCTAATATAGGAGCCTACTTAATTTCCAAAACTTTTTTCTGAGGGTTCCTCTTTATGTTTATGCTATAAAGGAGCCCAAAATCCTCGTCTAACTACTAAGGCCCCTACATATAATGCTAAATTATGAACCCTACAGCCCAAAGCCCTGAAAAAGGTTGGCATGGTGTGGACCTACACGAGCTTCACCCGGGAATACCTGGACCCCACCCGTTGTATCAACCCTGTACTGCTACACCCTAAATGTAAACCCTCCCAATAGATCAAAAGCCATAAAACCGCCGATGAATGAATTGACTCCTGGAAATACAGATTGTAGTAGTGATCCTCACCTTTTGGGGCCCTTCAACAATAGTCGTCTTCATCTTTCTCCCTACAAATTAGCCTAGAAACTTTATGAAGTCCTTAAACCTGCTTATGAGACCCGGAAATCTGAAAGGGCGCATTAGGGCTTCTACCGAGTGGTAACAATTTCCTTGTCTAGTCCTTCCGCAGCTATCCTATAGTATGCTCCAAAATGCCCGTCTAATTATACAGACTCTCGTAAGCCCTACACCCTGAGCAACTGAAGAGCCCCTAGCCCTTAAACCCTACGCGCCTACACCTGAAACCCAGAAACCCGAACCATCTACCCTAAACCCTAAACCCCCCTAAACCCTAAACTCTAAACCCTAAAGCCTAAACCCTAAACCCTAAACCCTAAAACCCTAAACCCTAAAACCCTAAAGCCCCTACTTCCTGCACCCCGAAAGCCTACTATAAGGGCCTTAATAATTAGGATAGGGTTTTGGGGGTTCCTTAATACAATTATGGTATAATATACCCCAAACCCTATTCTAATTATTAAGGCCCCTATATTACCCTAAACCCTTATAGCAGCCCTTGTAGAACCCTTTAAAGGAACC